AATTAATAATAATAATAATAATAATAATAATAATAATAAATTGTATTGTTAAAACCATTAAAGATTCCTATACATATTATGAAAAGAATTCAATAATTTTATACGTTTACAATAGGAAATATTTAAATTATTTTATCCTAATTTGTAATTAATTTTCTTACAAATTTTTAAATAATCTTTATTATTTATATATGTTTGGTTATACGATAGTCATATATATATACTTGGCATACTTAAATATACATAATTTGCATATTTATTTATCATGCCTTATGTAGTTATGATATACAACAGAATTATAATTTAAACGATAGTTTCCTTGATAATAATAAATAGATCAAGTATAAATGTTTAGAATATTTCGATTATTTCAAAATTCACTTATATTTTATTTATTACAAGTTACAACATTTTACCTTTGAATAAATACTTAAATATTTGTAAATTTATTTTTCATCGTTTAAAAGTAATTTACTATAATCTATAATAAACTAGAAAAGAGAGATAAGTTGTTTCGGAATTTAAAAGGTTTTTCTATATTTTTATCTTCACATTTTTTTTTATAATTACTACTGAAAATTTTTAGCGAGAATTATCAAACATAAAGAATAATCAAGATCATTCTTCAAGCTACTAAATTTGTACTAAATTTACTGTATTATAATACAAATTTGTAAGTCAATATTACAAGAAATTATATTAAAAATGTACGTAAATTAATTCATTGGTATATATATTATTTTGTTTATTTAATCACCTTTTTCTTTTTTAATTTCATAAAATCAAATATAATAGAACCTGTATTAGTTTAACCGAAGTAATGTGGATCGATACTACTTTGGAACCGAAAACTCCGATTAAACGGAAAGTCACGGCCATTTTGGATTAAAAATCATGAATTATAAAATATTTATATGATATATCATTTTAAAACCTCTTTTTTTATTTATACCTTAGTTCTTAGTGAATGTAATCATATATAAGAACAGCGTTTTTACATCCGTTATAATACGTACTGTACAGTACATACAATAGTTTTAAGAATAAAAATGTGTATTATTATAGATACATTAATATGAATGGTTTGTCTCAAATTAAAGTTAAATGACAAAATGTAACAAACAAATCATTTTGTAAAACGTGTAACCGTTTAAACCTTTTTTTAAACAGTCCTTTCGAGTTTTCTTGTTCTCAATATCTCAATGTCTTCGCCTCAATGTTCTCCAGAAAGGAATACAAAAGAAACTTTTAGTAAAAGAGCTAGAGCTGGATTAAAAATGCACATAGAAAAACTAAATAAATATATAACTGGCTTATGTCATACATCGGCTATATAAGCAGTGTTCAATGACAGATTTGCCTCGGATAATGAATAATTTCGGTTAATCGGGTCTCAGATAATCTGGATTTACTGTGTTTCATTATTCAAATTTGTATAATTTGTGATATAATTTTTAATACAATTTACTATGTAAATTTTTTGATTGCTTTAATATTATTGTATATATAATTTATTTGTTGTATTACCTATTATGTAAAATAAGATGAACACGTGAAAACTAATGTGTTTTTACATAATTTTTAACGATCATTATATCTATGTTAAATTGTATATTCTTTTCACGTATTAACTAAGAAATATCTTCTCGTTAATAATAGAGAAAGTATATTATAATGTAATGTAGATTACTTTCGTTTATTTTTAGTTCTATGTCCAGTTACAAAGGAATTTTTTTTTTTTCTTCTTCTACAATATTTTACCAAACCATTATTTTAATGTCTATTTTACGATAAATATAAAAGATTATATAAATAATTACCAACGTGCCAATTGCCATTTTGCGTGTAAATTGTTATAAGAAAAGTATGAAAATATATGAGAAATAAATTTCAATTTAAATTTTTCAGGTACTAAGTTCTTGTGCAGTCAGGTGATAGCACCGATTAGAAACGAAGATAATTTTATATGCATGTTTATAATGAATTTTGAAGATGTGACGGATGCTCCTTATCGAAATGAATTGCCGTTATCGCCATTCCCTTCTTCATTGCGAAGTAAGTAAATGTTTATCGTTATTGATAACAGATGGCGTTACTTCACAGTTCGTTTTATTACTGTATAGTGTTAAAAAAAATACCTTCAATCACACATCAGCGATTTAATCATCAAATTACGAAGGATAATTGTTTGAATTTACAGTTCAAATCATTTTAAAATAGAATAATAAAGAAGAAAAATTACAAAAAAACCCCCACGAAAACGTTCTTAAATACACATTTAAGTTATTAAAATAATTTTTTTTTTTTAATAACGAATCATTAGAGTATACGAAAATAAAAATGATCGGTAACGTGATAATTTTATATATTTAAAAAGATTAAAAGTTTAATTATCAAGCCATTGTGTATCATTGAATTAACTTACTAATCGATTTTATTCTTAAAAGGGAATTTTTAAAATTTCCAATTAAAAATTATTGAATTATTAATTATTATATTGAGATCCCGTTTCTGAAAGCTTTCAAATTTTCTCATGGAATTTTTTTTTTTTACTGTTAATTTAATATATTTACTCAGTCTAGTTGTATATACCAATCCACAGTTCTTGCAAGATTTCCTATTCTGGAGAAATTATTCACACCGTCCGGAGACAAAGATCAAGCTGATGATTCTTCCATTGGTTCCACTGCATCACCAGGTCTTTATTTCTTTTTTTTTTTTTTAACCTGCCCAAATTTACTGCTTGCTCATTCCATCACTCCTTTTTTTTTTTTTTTTTTATGGTACTGCACCGCATATGCTGCAACTAAAGGACCATCCAAATAACTTGCTTTTCGCTTCTTGGACTATGAAAATTAATTATTATATGTGTTTTAATAAATACTTTTTCCTGCAGAAGGAAATCGTTTCTTCAAATTCTTCAAACGTGGAAGACGAAAAACCATCGATTCTCATGTCGATAAGATTCAAGCTGATGGAAGAGCAATTATAAGTCCAGATCAGGAAATTGTTGCTATGGAAACTATAGCACGTGATGAAATAGATGTGGTCTCGGAGAGCCAAATTAGAGCAATAATACCACACACCGATTTGACTCACGCAATTGCACCTTCCTATATTCGAACTGGACCAATATCTGCAGGTAATTAAAAATATAAATTATATTAAATTTGAAAAAGAAATAAAATATATACATAATATTTTAATTTAAAAAAGTATAATCTATTTTTTTAAAAATATATGTTAAATTAATTCAGAATTTAAATAAAAACTAATAATACTGTACGTATATTTTTACTTTCAATAGGGAAGTTAGGAAATTATTTATATTTTAATTTTTGCAGTTTAACTTGAAAAAAAAAAAAANTTACTGATTTATATTCTTTCGATTTAATGTTTTAATGAATAAAATTTATATAAAATATTATCTGGAATGATTTAAGTTTTATATATTTATTGTTGAAAAATAATTTGTAGATAATTTTACTTAACTGAATTATATTAGAAATTTTTTGGAAGTATTATTAACAATCAAACATTAATAAATTGTAGAACGATACAAACATAGAAAAGATTAAATATATTATTTAATATCTTCATAATTCAAAAATTTATTCTCTTAAAACAAATACTGAATTTTTTATTAAATTAATTTAAAACTTTAAAATCTCTCCTAATGCTATTATCAATAGAATTAAGTTGCATATTTTTGGTAGTTTCAAAATAAATATATAAAGAACTTGAATGTTAAATCCTTATTAAAAAAACTTTAAAACCTTTTCAATTTTTAAATGTTTATTAAAATAAATATAGGAATTAAGTTTTTGATAACTTTATTTTCGATTTATTTATATAAAAATAATACATATTATGAATTTGTTAAAAATTTGTATCTAATAAACTACTGTTTATTGTACTTAAAATAACAATAATTTTATATTATATTATTAAATTTATGTAAAATTTTTATGCAATTTCTATACTATAATGCTAGAAAGTATTATTTTCACCATTAAAAGATGTTTAGTTAGATTTGTTAAGAAAATTATATACATCAAAACATAAGAAATTAGTATTATAAAGAAATAATATTTAACAGAGATTTTAATCAATAAAAAATCATAATGTAAATTTTTATTAAATAATTTATCTAAAATTTTGACTATATGAATTTTCTATTATTTGTGTTTATTTTTCTTTAAAAATTAAATAATTATTTATATTAATAAAATCAATTAAAACTACTAAAAAATATATTTTATTTGAATAAGTTGTTTTTTTAAATTCAAATAAATATAAAATATATAAAATTTAATTATCTGATAATTAATTAATCATAGCTTAGTATTTATTAAATTTATTTAAATGATAACATTTTAAAATACTTTAAAGCTTGCAGTGATATAATCTTACATTATATGAAATTATTTTTATGTGCTAATAACTTATATTATTTTGATATTTTATTTATTATATTTTAAATATCATTTTAAGTTTATTTTAACGAATATATACATTTATTAACAACTTCATTTGTTTGTTATATGGATAATAAATATAGGCCTACAGATATACCCCACCTTGTCTTAAAATATTATAAATATTTATACAATAATTTATGTGCAAATAATATGCATGCTAATTACTAATGTTGTCTTTTAAATATTCTGATATTAAATTATAATTATTTTCAATAATTTTTATAAATATTTATATATTAAATATATATATATATATATATAGAAAGAGGAATGTGATGTAATATTGTAGGCTTGCTTTTAACTATTATGGATGTTAATTGTATGAATATAATTTATGCATGATTTTTGCTTGCTTATATTAGCTTATGAATTTAAACAGATCATATCTATCGCTTTAAGATCAATACAAGTAATTGTTTCTTTACTAATTTACTTGATTTAATAAATAATTATTCTATTTTTAAAAATTGTTTTGCTTTTAAAACGATAGATACGATATGACTCTTTTATATTGTGGCATGTGTTAATGTTTATGTATTGTGTTATTCTATCTGTCACCTTTTGTCCAGTTAGTCAACCTGATCTCACTGTCATCGAATATGAACACCAACGTCCACGTGCTCTAACCATCGACATTGGACAAGGTGAGGTATTACAACAATTCGTGTTATTCCAGGTCTTTTATTCCACCGTTAAATTCGAGGGTTAGTTAAATCTATCGAATAATAATTTCATAAGGCATCAATAGATTACATCAAACAAGAATACTCGTATTTTTTTCTGTTCCAACAGCCACTGCGAATAACTTAAATAAATCTTTACCATTGGCAACTTCCGATCCTGATTTGGCAAGATTTTTGGCATACCAGTACGGAAAATCCACATCCATAAGTAATATTGTATCTGACAGTACGGGAAGATGCAAAGAAAATAACAACTCCTCCGCTACGTCTAAATATATATTGAAAGAAGTTCATTCACATAAACCACATGTTGGAGAAAAGGTTGCACAGGTAAAGTTTTTAAAAATTATTATCATCGACAGATGGCAGCACGTATAATGCTATTCGTAGTTTTAATTATAACATAAAACTCAGTATCCAAATTATTTTATAAAATTATTACAATGCATGGAAAGAATATATTAATTAATAAATGTAAAATCATACCTTTAATTATTATTCTTATTTTTTTTTACATTTATTAGTCGTATGTCTTAAACAAATACAGTCGACCCCTCCTATAACACTATTGATTTTTACGTTTTATATGAATTCCACGTTGTACGAGTCACTTAGATTTTACAAATACGTGTGCCGAGGTGTGAACGGCTCACGTATTTGTAAAATCTAAGTGACTCGTACAACGTGGAATTCATATAAAATGGAAATAATCAACAGTGTTATAAGAGGGGTCGACTGTACAAGTATTTATTACTGTCTTATCGTTTAATAAACTATTTAAAATTGTTATATAATCAATTAAAAGTAATCCGAAATGTAAAAATCTAAAAGTATATATATATTTAAATGCATTTCTTACTTTTTCCTACCATGAATTATCCATAATAGAGAAGATCGATACAATTCAATCCGACAAATTAGTATAGAGTAAGTTCAAATCATCAACGATTTATAATCGTAATTTTAAGCAAATGTCACTGCTTGATGTATTATTTAGTTAGAAATTTCTCTTAATAACGGAAACTTTTCAACTTTGAAATGACATTATATATATAGTAAATTATTTAGTATCTTAGAAAAATGTGTTATAAAAAGATCTCAAATTATAGATTTAAACAGAATATATATTACATTAGATGCCGATTTACATTTTAATTACTATTTTTTTCATTCATTTGATAACTTCGTAATCAGCATTTTCTTTTTATTAGAAAATTACATATAAAACCTGATTTTAGTTACATAAGTAGATTGATTTATAAACTATTTTTGAATGTTAAAAGTAATTTATCATCAATTTTTCTCTTAATCGAGATGTCGTGGGATAAGTTTTTAATGTTATAGTCATAATTACATAGTATTTATAGTAGTGAAGTAAATGATAATTGTATTATTAGTTATCTTTATATTGTACAAAGTCGACCCCCCTATAACAGTGTTGATTATTCCGTTTTATATGAATTCCATGTTGTACGAGTCACTTAGATTTTACAAATACGTATGCCGGGCTGTAAACGGCTCACGTATTTGTAAAATCTAACTGACTCGTACAACATAGAATTCATATAAAACGGAAAAATCAACAGTGTTATAGGGGAGGTCGACTGTATTACTTCTGAATATGAATTACGTGCGAAATGTTTATTTAATATGTATTTAATATGATTTTTAACTGTTTAAACATTAATTTTATTATGATTATAATAAATATATGTTAATATCTACTGTATTGTCCTCCTCTATAAGTCGATGTATCGAAATAGTAATTTTACTTTTTCGTATAGTTTGGCTTCAATTTGTATTCGATTCATTGTGTAAGCTAAAAATAGAGCTTTATCTCCAATCAATATTTTTGTTAAAACTTTTCAGATTATTTAAGTATTTTATATTTTAAATTATATTATCAAAATATATAAAACATGTTCACTATAAAATATATAAGAACATGTTTGTATTTATTTATTTATTTATTTATTTATTTATTTATTTATTTATTTATATGCTAAAGAAAATGAAATTTTTACATTATTTATATTGTTAAAACTTATAAATAAAATTAATTATATAGCATTATTTCACATAGATTTTCACAAGTAAAAAATGTGTATAAATTAAAAATATGGAAAGAACTATCTAACTGGTGACTATTGAATACTAGAAATCTATGCGGGAGTTCAAAATAAGTAACATTAATGGGAAATTTTTTTACTTTTTTTTTTCATATAAACTGTCATCTGTTTAATGGATTTTGAAGCTTTTATATAAATGAAAGCAGTTGCTATATTTAGAATTAAAATTAACAAACCGACTTTTATACTAATCTACATATATTATAAAATATAATTTTATAAGTTTCCAAATATAACGATAAAAATTTCGTTTATTATTCAGTCAGGAAAAATATATATATAGAAAACTTCTGAAATTATTTTTATTTATGTAAATCTAAATAATATATTTACATATTATTCACTGTATATTTTAAAATATAATTTCTAGAATAATATTTTTAGTCATTACCTTCTTAAATTTAATATACTTATTAAAATTTTAAAAGTATATTAAAAATTAGGAAAAATCCTATTTATTTTCTCGTATAAAATTATTTATGCAATAAAACATATGTAAAATAATTACTGGAAGAAAATTGTTAATGTTTTTTTTTTTATACCGCTGTATGTTAAATATTATTTATAACACAGGGAAATATATATTATAAATACTAAATATTAATATATATTTTGGATTTTATTAACTATTATCTAATAATAAAGTACAAGTCGACCCCCTATAACACTGTTGATTATTCCGTTTTATATGAATTCCTTGTTGTACGAGTCACTTAGATTTTACAAATACGTGAGCTGTTCATAGCCCGGCACACGTATTTGTAAAATCTAAGTGACTCGTACAACATGGAATTCATATAAAACGGAATAATCAGCAGTGTTATAGGGGGGTCGACTGTATAATAACAATTCTGTTTAATGATCAATTTAATACGTGATATTTTTTCGAAACGATACTAATCTTAAATCTACACAAAGTATTTAATAATTTGTTATAAATTGAGGACAATAGTCTGCACGCTACGAGGAACGATTAATATACTTGGCAGCAGTTTGACAAGCTTTACATACACACACCTTTATATAAGATAATCTAATTAGCGGTTTATTATCGGAATTACTGATAACTGCCAATCTTTTAATTATACAATTTATATTTAAGGAAACTATATTTAATAAAATTAGTTTATAAATTAAGTCTAGATTTAATTATAATTATGCATTAAATTTTTTTTTCGTATTGAAACGATTGGATTTTATAGAAAACACTCGAATGCTTTTATTTATACTGTATAAAAAAAAATTCAAGTTAAAGTTTATACTTTCTGAATTTTTATTAAATTCAGTTATGTTTTACGATCTTTATTTTTATTACCTAATAAATTATTTTCTATGAAAACTTGAAATTATATTTACATACATATATATTATTTTTCTCTAAGTCAAGTTAAGTTGTTTAATCTGCAATGTCAGGTAACATTGCAGGAAAGCATGTTTTACAGGTGTTACAATAGTTTATTATATAGATCTGACTGTAATCAAATTATCATTTCTTTATTTATTAACCCAAAAACTTTAGAAATTAACTTTTATTTAATACGTAATTGTAATTAAAAATAATATTTTAATAGTTATTTTATTTATTATTTTTATTACTTAAATATTTAAAGAAATGTTTGTTAGTAGAAAATTCGAATAATTGTCATAAGAATAATAACTTTTTAGTTTGATTTCTCTGCGATACGTTAAATTATTAAATCGTACTATATATATAGGCGATAAATAAATGATATAATATAATTAAATGTAAAACAGAAGTAGGTTTTTAGTAATAACTTATTATTTGTCTTATTTGTTAAAAAATGAAGCTTAAATGTTCTTCCGCTAGTTTCAATAAATCTTTAAACTATTATTTAAATTTTATTAGTTGAAATTTATTAATTATCATCAGCAATATGTAGTAAGAAGAGTTATGAGTCTTTACGCTGCAAAGTTCAATTATTTCGAGTTTAATTCCATCGACAGTTATTAGTACAATCGAAGCATTGATATGTGAGTAAAAAAATCGACCTTAATACCTCTGAGAGAAAAATATCATAGGATGGAACTGCACTCTGATCGATAGCATCTAGCCTATTTTCAGAAGTGACGTAACTTGCATAAAAAGGTTCAACTTTTATTCTTTCTAGTGAGAAATTCCATTCTCCGTCGAAGTAATTGCTCGGTTACCATTTACGAGTACCTTCTATTATCCTCGGAGTACACGTGCTCTCCTGTTCGCTTTTACCTCTCGAATTTACCTCTGCACTGGAAGAAGAGACTTACCTGTACCTGAGACTCACCTGGCGATGGACGAGGTTGGAAATACGCAGTTGCCAAGGTAACGGGGAAAGTGCGTGTAGAGTGCTCATTCGCCTCAGTAAGTAAGTCTTTATCGTTGTGTCAGTGTGTCTGTATACACTCAAGCTGAAATGATGTTAAAATTATGGTGCTATGTTAAACAACTTGTCAAAGGGACCACTAAATATGCCTTAATATAGTATTCCGTTCGATGAAAATGTATATGGAATGTTGTACTACATCAACTTTAACTATGCATCCGAGATAAATCGTAAAATACGGTGGCAATACAAGACGAAGGAGGAGGTGGGGCCGATATGGTCGAACCACCCCAAAATGTATCGTATTTAGATATCGATAGACCCGAACAGATCTGCGAACAACAGCAAGTCTGCATAGATATCGAAGATGAAGGTGAAATGGAAGAAGTGGATTTGGCAACACCAGACCCGTCCAACGAAAACGAAACAGAGGCACCAGAAGTGCCTAGCGGATGGGTGACATCCAACTTGGAATTAATAATGGGACCAAGTTTATTTAACGAACCAACTAATGGAATCGAATTATTGGAAAATAGACCTATGGTGGAGTTTAATCCTCATCCAACCGAAGTGTACGTTAATGTTGATGAACAAAGTTCATTTAGTAGTGACGATCGGTCAGATATTAAATCAAATACTAGAATGGAAATTCAAGCTAGAATAAAAGCACGAAAGAATAGCGTCGTTCCTCAGGTAGGAGTGCTGTTTTCTGAAACGGACTGGCATATTTCGTTAACTTAACTATCGAATCAGTATAAAACAAATTCAAATTTATTATCATTATCTTATTTATATTGCATGTTTTTACATAAAAATACCTAATTTATAAGAAAAAAGAAATTTTCTTTATCTTTTAAAAAGTGTAAAATAATATTCAGTT